GGTACCGACAGCCACATGGTCCTGCTGGACCTCCGCCCCAAGGGTCTTGATGGTGCTCGTGTCGAGGCTGTCCTCGAGCAGATCAACATTGCCTGCAACAAGAACTCCATTCCTGGTGACAAGTCTGCTCTGACTCCCTGCGGTATCCGTATCGGTGCTCCCGCTATGACCAGCCGTGGTATGGGCGAGGAGGACTTCAAGCGCGTCGCTCGCTACATCGACCAGGCCATCAACCTTTGCAAGAGCATCCAGGCTGACCTGCCCAAGGAGGCCAACAAGCTCAAGGACTTCAAGGCCAAGGTTGGCTCCGACTCTGTTCCCGAGATCCTCGCTCTCCGCAAGGAGATCGCCGAGTGGGCCAGCACCTTCCCTCTGCCTGTTTAAACATCAGGGCAGAACGAATAATCTCACATGATACCAAAATATGCTTTTCTAGTTTTCTTCAGGCTTTTGACGAGTTCAACATCATTGCGTATAAAATTGGGTCGCCGGGAGTACGTTACAGGGGTTTTTACAGGTCTGCTTTTTCAACCTTACGCGGGTCATGGGATACGGTATACATGAGCATGAACAAAATATTCAACATTTCTTCAACAGGACGAAAGGTTCACTGTCGGGGCTTAAATTGAGCTTTAGCTACCATCGACCATCTTGACTAAGGTAGTCCATAAATGAACTAAAAAGATTAATGATTTCAAGATCTTCCCTCTCATAACCATCTAACTGTAGTATTCCAACCGTTCTCATCTCCTCCAGTTCAAGTGCTGCCGCGCTTCTCTCAACTTCTCATCTTCAGCGTTCGTTTTCCACACGGATGAGGGAATTCAAATCTACAGGATCATGTTTCAGTAATATGATCAGGGGAAGGATTGTTGTTTATGCTTATTTCCACTACCATGGGCGATCATATATATATTATCCAACGCACATATCACACCTGAAGTGACAGGCGAAATTAAAAGAATACAGATTCAAATCTCTCAGAGCTCAGTCTTTTCTTGGCGCGTTGTTTCCTCACTATCGCTGCCCTTATCCCCCCATGACTGCGAGATCAGCGTAGCAACATTCTTACCCATCAGGGCACTGGTTTCCATGGTTGAGATGAAGCTCTCAATGCCGCCTGTGTACCACAGATTCGGCGCAAGCGTGGTGTCCTCGAACGTAACCCGCGGGTAGAGGAACGGGTACGGGTTCCAGATTTTTTCAAGGTGCCAGCTTACATCATCCTTTGGAAGGTCTCCGATTGTCGAATTGGCGGAGTATCCTTTGTGCTCGAGACCCAGGATAGCTCCCACGAACGACGCCGTGAGACGCTCGGGCGAGAACACCTTGTACACGTACTGTTTCTCGTGGGTACCGTCGCTACGCGGAGCTTCCACAGTGCGAAGGGTGCTGATGCTCCAGAAACCGGCTGGGCCGACGCCGGCCTTGCTGGAGCCCAAATCCACCCCGCGGGGAAGTGTCGTGAGAACGGTCTCAGGAGCGCGACTGTTGGACGGGAGGTTGAAGAACTGTGGAGAAAGGCGATGTGGTGAGGAGAAGAGGGTCACATGGAGCTTGACATAAGGGATTTCGTCTGGGCCGTGCTCGAGGGGTGGTTCGATAGTGATGCCTGAATATTGTAATGGGCCCGCGATAACTACCTCGTCGAACACGGAGCTTTCTTCGACTTCGGTCGCCTTGAACCCGACGGTCAATGTGCCGTCAGCGTTCCTTTGAATGGATGTCACACTGTGATTGACTCTGATATCAGCCTCTGAGGACCTCAGCATGCCCTGAAAAATCTGCCAATTGCCGCCCTCGATAGAAACCGCTCCGTCGGTAGCCATGCAAACCATCGTCTCGAGACCGTGTATCAGAGGTAGATTCTGCCCGTAGTTCACCCGCGTGCTCGCTTGGATCACGTCTCGCGAAAAGTCATCGGATATACCGCCGTTCTGAAGCAAAAAGTCTCCCGGGACTGACGTGGTATTTAGCAAGTCAACTGCGGCCGCAGCCGAACTAAGCGATCTGAATGGGAAATAAGGCGAGTCATAGAGTCGCAGAAACTTGTTGACTGTGCTTTTCATTAAGTTCTGAGTGCGAATGGGTGACAATCCATAGCGCCATAGCAGTTTAGCAATGTTCCACCAGCTATAGGTGTCCTGTAGCACCAGCGCGAATTGCTCGCCATCCCAGACGCCAAGCGTATCGTCAGACTCTCTGGGACGAGCGTGGTCGGCGCTTCGGACAGTAAGCCCCAGTTCCTTGGAGGCGTTCACTAAGTTGTAGTTGACCGATACGAAGATGGAGGCACCCAGCTCTATAGGGTACTTCGGATCATCCAGCGCGTTGACGGTTGTCGAACGGCCGCCGATATATGAATTTCGTTCATAGACCGTGATGTCAACTGGAACCTGGAGAGAGTCTGCAATCTTGCGCAAAGAGTACGCAGTGGATGAGCCTGCAGCTCCGGCTCCTGATCAACGTCAGTCTTCCACTGGTGATATCCAGATTTCGAGTTGCTCACCGATTATTGCAACCCTTTTTGGGCTGTCGTGAGGTGTACCTAGCGGTTGTTGTTCTGCATTGACGAACGAAGCAAAACAAAGGACTATTGCAAATGAGATAGTACATAAGCGTAGAAGTGCATGTTGGATCGACCGCGAGGAGGAATCCATAAGTGCATTAGATGTCTTTCAATGGTATAGTTGATGCTCAAGGGCACTAGGAACCAGATTACTAGTACGTCACTGATGGAGATGCGCCGAGACAACCTTGATTCACTGTCTCAATCAGAACCACAAGTTTCCATCAATAGACAATGTATGAGATATACAAAAGTGAGCCAGCCTGTCTAACAGATGAATATGACAGACGTTACCACTGGAACGTGCTGTCGTTGGGGATGATGAGGCCTCAAGACAACACAGAGGCCAAATCGTGCTAGTCCACATCCGGACTAAGCTAATACCAGCCCGTATCGCTTATCGCGCCCGATCTTTTTTATCTTTTTTTCGGAGGTAAAGAACTTTTGGAGGGGTTGATAGCGCTACACTTCACTTGTTGTCCATACGCAATTTCTGGGAATATAACTCAAGTCTGATTGTTTCATTTGTTGATTACTAGATCCCACGACAATGGATCCGTACGACAGCGATTCCTCGGGTTTCGATGATGAGGGGGATTTCACTGAGACCGGAGTGCTTCTAGGATATCCTTCCGAAGAAGTCATAGATGATAGTATCAGTCACCTTGGAGGCTGGCCGGTATGTGGAGCTACTTGACTATCAAACGATGAATTCATACTGATCTTCATGGCTAGACATGGCTTGACGATTCTACACCGCCCCCAGGTGATTTCGCCAATTGCAAAGTTTGCAACAGTCCGATGCTTCTCCTCCTTGAATTGCACGGTGACCTTCCGGATCATTTCCCTGATGATGAGAGACGGTTGTATATATTTGGATGTCCCAGAAAGGCATGCAATAAGAAGCCAGGCAGCATCAGAGCGTTGCGCGCAGTGAGGAAGCTTAAGGTCGAGCAGGCGCCACGGAAAACAGAGGAGAAGCCGAAGGAGGACAGACAGCAGAAGGTTGAGGCTCCAAAGCAGGATCTAGGAGCGAGTCTATTCGGAACTACCTCCCTCACTGGCAGTGTCTCCGCGAACCCGAATCCCTTCTCATCGAACACATCTTCAGCGTTTCCCAGCAACCCATTTGCGGCTCCTTCTACTGCAGCACCGACGCAAGCTAAGGAGACATCAACTACAACACCATCAACTACCTCTCTGTCTGAGACCTTCGCCGACAAAGTCAGAGTCTCCTCCCCACCTCCACAAACCATGCCACCGGAAGCCGCTGGACCTGCTGCCCCTTGGCCTGAGAAGTCCGCCTTCCCAGCTCCGTATCCGCAGTTTTACCTGGACGCCGAATATGAGACACTTTCTCGACCCTCCACACCAACAATACCTGCGAATGTTACCATAGATAACACCGAAGAGGAGGAAACAGGCAAAGGGTCTTCTTCAGACCTCAAGGATGCCTTTGAGTCTGAGTTGGACAAGGCCTTTATCCGATTCTCAACACGCTTAGCGCACAACCCAGAGCAAGTTCTGCGCTATGAGTTCCGTGGATCTCCGCTTCTCTATTCTTACACTGACGCTGTGGGCAAGCGGCTCCACGACCCGAAGCATGGCGGCTCCGGTTCGCGTGTGACGACTGTGGCAAGTAGCGCGAGCCGGTTTCCACGCTGCGAGTACTGCGGTGGTGAACGTGTCTTTGAGCTACAACTCGCACCGCACGCCATTACTGTCTTAGAAGAGGGCCGCGAGGGAGTCGGCCTAGGGCCCAAGGATGATGCTGGTATGGAATGGGGAACCATCATTCTTGGTGTTTGCAGCAAAGACTGTGGGCCGAAACAGGTCGGAGTAGTCGGATGGCGTGAGGAATGGGCTGGCGTACAATGGGAGGAGTTGACGAAATAGATTCAAGGGTGATGATTTCATAGGCATGGTAGTCTTGGAGAGCTTTTGAAAGGCAAATATATCCCAATAGCGTATTAATGAACCGTTGCGCTATATACGTGTGGGCCTTTCTGGTAGTTACGAGCTATTACTCTGCAGGTCTTTTCCTCTTGACTCTGGACAAATTTAATGCATAATCGTCCAAGCATCGGCTAACATCCGATGCGACTTCTAGACTGCAGCTCAACACAAAGGGGGTATATAAAAAGTCTCGCCGTCAGAACCATCCAGTCAGGCTCCACACATATTGGTTAGTGACGAATACGTAGAGAAATCGGCAAAACAACCCTCCTCTGATCCGACCCGGCAGTTGACCAGATTCGCTCGATCTGGACTATCACTTTTATGGTAGTCAAAGGAGCGCGAAAAATCGCCCGTATCCCACAGACGAGGTGGAGTTGTGCGACAAGACATTCCCAAGAGCGGTCTGGTCTGGCATCCTTGACCCCAGGACCAGATCTCCGAGGGAACCGAATTGAACCAGGATCTAAAATTCTCAAGCGGAGGCGGCAGCTTGCTGCTGGAGCTGCGTTTGGAATTGAACAATCTGTTATGACAATGGACCATCAGAACGAGACTATGATAGCTTTCTGGGGGCGTTTCTCACCTCCGCGCGCTTCTTCTCGGCCTTTTCTTGAGCCTCCTTGATCTGTCCCTCGATTCTCTTGCTATCGACGCCGTCAGCCATGATCTTCAATCAGCTGGTAGTATACGATAAGGGAAAACGCACATTTCCTTCTCAATAAACTCAAGCCGTCCGTTTACAGCCATGACGGCCTCGTTCTTGTCTTGCTTCAATAAGACGGGCCCCACGATCTTGTAGATTTTCGAGTCCTCATCCAACTTGGCGAATTCATCCTGCACGCCTTTGTTCTCCTGCTGCTGTGACTCGAGCTTTTGGCGAGCATCGATGAAACCTTCGAGATCTGGATATGATATCGGCAGCGTGTTAGAGCTTGCGATAATGCCATCGAGTTGATTGAATCGCTAGAGCACTGGAACCGGAGATCACTTACCGGTTTGTAGCTTCTGATACTCATCAGAGAGAGCTTGAAACTGCTTCTGCGGGTCTGCCATAGTGTCGAAGTATCCTCAATTACTTCGAGAATTGATTATAGCTTGGGCAATGCTGTCTTGAGCGTGAGGGGGCGTTGGCGGGGACACAAAATGCTGGTAATTACCGTAATGACGGAACGGTAAACAACGACCGAACCAACTTCCTCCAGGCGACGGCCGTCCGCTTTCTCTCGTCGTCATACTGCTGTGAACAAGACAAACACTTACTGTCCCTTACTGTCCCTTCTGTCGCATTAACACGATTCGCGTATGCGTTGAAAAACTACTGGTACTCGACCTCGCTCAATCGTTTTAGCTGTTTCGTCGGTTACCCCGTTCACCTGGCAATCAATCAACGAGGCAACTGTCCCTTCGTTGCTCCCCCGCCTTTCACTCCCCGATCGGCCTCCGACGTCGACGCCAGTGTTGGAGACACAAGCAGTTTGAACTGCGTGCGATCATGACCAATAATACGGATTTCTTAGGTCGGGCGATCGATGCCGTGAAAAAGGCCATCGAGCTCGACAATGGGGGCGAGTACGAGAAGGCGTATCAAGGCTACTACTCCGCACTGGAGCTGTTCATGCTGGCCTTGAAATGGGAGAAAAACCCTAGGTCCAAGGAGATGATTCGCGCAAAGACGGCCGAGTATATGGATCGAGCAGAGAAACTTAAAAACCACCTGGCTCAGAGTGAAGACAAAAAGAAACCGAGCGCTATAGGCGCCAACGGCAAGGTGGCGCAAGGAAGTGGGAAGGGGTAAGGCCTCGAAATTCCTGTCTTCGTACCCATACTGGGTCGAAATTGGCTGAGTCCCATACTAATATACGTGTTTCTTCAGAAAGGAGGACGACGATAATGAAGATGCCGATGCGAAGAAGTTACGATCGGCCCTCGCTGGCGCTATCTTGTCGGACAAACCGAACGTGAAATGGGAGGATGTTGCAGGTCTCGAAAGCGCCAAGGAGGCTTTAAAGGAGGCTGTTATCTTGCCTATCAAGTTTCCGCACCTATTCACTGGGAAACGGCAGCCTTGGAAGGGTATTCTGCTATACGGACCTCCGGGTACCGGAAAGTCATATCTGGCAAAAGCCGTGGCGACGGAAGCAAACAGCACGTTCTTCAGTGTCAGTAGCAGTGACTTGGTTTCTAAATGGATGGGTGAGAGTGAAAGGTATAGATTTCCCTGGAGCGACGACCGTCGCACTGCATCGATGCGTCTTTCACTAACGCATACTCTGCAGACTTGTCAAGCAGCTCTTCAACATGGCCCGCGAAAACAAGCCAGCGATCATCTTCATTGACGAGGTAGATGCCCTTTGTGGACCCCGCGGTGAAGGAGAATCAGAGGCATCTCGCCGTATCAAGACCGAACTTCTTGTACAAATGGACGGTGTCGGCAAAGATTCGCGAGGAGTGCTGATCTTAGGCGCTACAAACATTCCTTGGCAGCTAGACGCAGCGATTCGACGCAGATTCCAGCGAAGAGTACACATCAGTCTTCCCGATATTAACGCCCGGATGAAGATGTTCATGCTCGCCGTCGGCCAAACGCCGTGCCAAATGACGCAGGCCGACTACCGGACCTTGGCCGAGATGAGCGAGGGCTATTCTGGTAGCGATATCAGCATCGCTGTCCAAGATGCACTTATGCAGCCCATTCGTAAAATCCAGACAGCGACACATTACAAGAAGGTAAGCGCCTCGCGGTTCTTGTCTTGCGACCTGAATCACACTGACAAACGGCAGGTTATGGTCGATGGCGCAGAGAAATTGACTCCGTGCTCGCCCGGCGATAGCGGTGCGATGGAGATGTCATGGGTGAACATTGAAGCCGACCAACTCCTTGAGCCACCCCTTATGTTGAAGGACTTTATCAAAGCTGTGCGCAATTCAAGACCAACAGTCAGCCAGGAAGATCTCCAAAAGAACGCGGAATGGACCAAAGAATTCGGCAGTGAGGGAGCTTGATCTCGACCTTTTCTTTGCTCTTTCCATCCGTTCCTGAAACGATACAACTGATAGAACCTTGCTGCATACTGCGTTCCTATCGATACCTGGTATACATATGCGTCTTTTGAGTTCTTTTCCCGACGCATTGGGAAAGCGTCAAGCGCCGGCTTCGGTCCTGTTATCCCACATACAGCCATTACTATGCGTTATGTCTTCGCTATGCCCTTACCTTTTCTTCTTCATATTGTCATCAAGAGCTCGGTGTTCAGAAGCGTTATCCGTTTGGCGAGGTGTGGCGTTCTTTATTATCTGTTGTCTCGTTTGTCACACTTAAATGGCTTGGATATGGGTTGAACTTGTTCATATTCTCACGAAGAGCTTTGTCATAAACTTTATGCTGCAAATGAGCTGTCAAGGATCAATAGGCAGTTCGAAATTTCAAATTCTTTCTAGCTGTCCATCATGTGGACTGGATTGGTTCCTGGTAACCCATGACGATGGAATAGAGGTTGACATATCTCATTGGAATACCCTGATCATGAAAGCAACAATGCCCGAAGTCATAACTTATGCCCAACTCCGCAGTATCCCCGGCTCCAACCGGCGATGAGTCAAAAAGCCTAAGAGCGTTCGCAAATAATAAAGACTGAAAGTAATTCATCCAACAAATAACCTTGGAAAGAAGTTAAACAAGACCATGCGCTAATGGGTATGCAAAGCACACAGGGGAATCTCAGCAACAGAATCAGACAAGAATGAGGGCTATATGGAGGAAACAAAGAACAGTATAAGCAAGGAATGGAGAATATCAGAATCAAGTCATTGCAGCTTTGCCGGAGCTCTCCCTCCTCTTCTTCAACACTTCATTCTTGGCCCGCTTGAGACCTTCGCCCAACTTCTTCGTCTTTGACCATTCACGAGACTTTCTTTGCATGCGAACGGTGGCCAGAACAAGGGAGACGGCAGTCTTCAGTTTTTGCCGTGGAGTCCGGAAATGAGTCCGATCCCGAGGCTTGACGCCCATCTCATTGATCATTCTGAGGTCGGCCTCGTTACTAGTTGACAGTCAGTGGCTGAACGAGAGGGGGAGAATACAAAACAGGTGCACATACCAAGCAACGCGGACTCGTTCTCCAAGCTCCATCAAGCCCTTGCTCCAAGCTAGGTCACGCCGGAACTTCTCCTCTCGCCGCAACCGAGCTCGAAGCCAGATGATCTCCTTTCCGAGACCTAGGATTTCTTTGTCGTGTCTGTTCTTATTGTCGGCGTTGGACTCAATGCTCTTCACGATTTTGTCATAACGTTCCCGAAGACCTTCCAGCTCCTTGGTGGCGGTCTCAGCCTTTCTGATACAGAAGGCGCGCTCGTCACGGACTCTGCGAAGCTGCGACTTCAAGTCGCTGAGACGAGCATCCCTCTCAGACACTTGCAACGCCAGTGACTCGGCTTCAAGAGTGGACGATTTGAGGAGTTCGTGGAGATCTCGCTGATCCTCCTCTCGCATAGCTGCTCGCTCGAGCTCACGGTTCTTAGCTCTCAACTCCTTCAAGGCCCGATGAGCCTCAGATAGCTGCTTCCGTAGACTTCGTGTTTCTTCATGTAATTTGTCGGAGGGCGACCCATGAGGCGAACTTGTTTCATATTTATTCATCAAGGCATCGTGGAGCTCCCTTTCCAGCTCAGAGATTCGCTGCTTGCATTTGCGAACGGACGATTTCTGATCGGCTTCCCTTTGCAGCAGGACTCGTTCTCTCTTTCGCGCCTCGTCCAGGTTATGACGGAGCATCGAAAGGTCTGCATTAGAAGTAGACTGCTCGATATCTCCAAGAGGCTGCTGTTCAAGAAGCGACTCAAGCTCATGGATGCGGTTCTCCAGACGCTGTACTTTACCCTTAGCTAGCGTCAGTTCCCTGTCTCGCCCGCCGGAGGCCACATGCAGCTTATCCTGAAGCTGATCAATTTCGGCCGACAAACGGTTCTCTTCCTGTGTGGCACGCTCGATTTCAGAGCTCAGTTGCTTTTCAAGAGATTCTTTCGCTTCCAGAAGTGAAGCTTTATCGTCCTTTAATCTCTTTACCTCGCCTTCAAGGCGCAGGGCGGATTTGCGGAGATCAATTTTCTCTCGATCAAACCGGGTCGTATCGTCAACCTGGTCTTTGACGTTATCGAGTTGATTCTGAAGTTCATCGCGTTCAGCCTCTAGCTCAGCTACCGAAGTGCGCAGGTCATGCAGTTCGACATGAGCATTTGCCAGCTGATCACGAAGCTTCTGCTTCTCAGCCACCAACTTTTGCAACTGGCTGTCTTCTGAGGACCCTTTCTGCAGCCGAGCTTTTGTGTATTCTTGCTCTTCTTCTAAGCTCGCTTGAAGAACGACTACCTCGTCTTCTAGAGCCTGGACTCTCTCTCTCAAGGCGACTTCCTCACGTTTTGTGACTCTCAATTCTTCCTTGACAGATAGAAGCTCGTTCCTCAGCTCATCAATGACTTCCCGTTTCGATGCGATGTCGTCATTCAATTCCTTCACTTGGCGACTAAGGACGGCTTCTGCATTGAAATGTCGGGCCTTCTCACTATCGATGACCTCCTGCAGTTTCACTTCCTTGCCTGAAAGAGAGTGCTCAACTTGCTCGAGCTTCTCGATAGTACGCTTGTACCCCGCCGCTTGGTCCTCGGCCCGGTCTTTCTGAAGCTGTAAAGTCCGCTTTGCGCTTTCCCACCTGTCTTGCTCAAGCGCAAACTGGCCTTCTTTGTCTTCAATCTCGTGCTGAAGAGACTCGATTTCTTCTTGCAATCGTTGGACCTCTTGTTTGTACTGTGCACGAATGATATGTCCGTTTTCCAATGAGCGCTGCTTTTCCTCGTCCAAAGCTTGCTGAAGTTCCCGAACTTGAGAGCGTTCCTGACTAAGCTCGCGCTGTAGACTGCCAGACTCATCAGTCAGGGCTTGATGCCGGGTCTGTAAGAGATCTTTCTCTTCTGTTCGTCGTTGGAGCTCATCGAGTGCATCCTGTAACTGGGCGAACAGTTTGTCTCGTTCTTGTCTAGTGGAGTCTCGCTCGCGCTTTGCGGCTGTAGCGTCGTCTCTCAACTTTCTTTTCTCTTCATCTATATCCCTTTGGGAATTCCGATACTGTTCCTCCAGGCGGCGTTCGTTTTGTGTTTTCATATCGAGCTGCTCCTTCAATGAATCATTCTCTCGCTGCAAATTTCCAAGCTCGTCCTCCAATTTGGACGTCCGTTCCTCCAATTGACGAGTGAGGCCTTTAGTGCTGAAAGATTTATTCGCCATCTCTTCATGAAGTTCCCGAAGGTCTTGGTCGGCCTTTTCCTTTTCCTGAACAGCTTTGTTCGCAGCATTTCGGGCTTCACTGGCGTCGGCCTTCGCCTGATCCAAACTTGCCTGCAAGTCCTGCAGATGCTCCTTAGCGCGTCGAAGCTCTGCTTCAAGCTCAGATACTGAATCTCGGTCCTTGTTATCTCTGTCCTTCAACTCTTCGATTTCCTCCTCACGCGCTTCAATGGTACGATCCTTCTCCCGAATGGACGCCTCCAGATCCTCAATTTCGTCCCGGAGTTTCTCAAGATTTTGCGATTGGCGATCCTTGGCCTCTCTGAGCTCCTCTTGGAGTTCTCTTACGCGGTTATCTTTCCTTTCCATCTCTTCTCGCATCAAGTCCATCTCTTGCTGCACACTCTCATCAATCTGTCTCCTTCGCAATTTTTCCTTCACTTCCTGGAATTGTAGGCGGTATGCTTCTAGGTCGCGTTCTGCCTGTTGAAGGCTTTTCTTGTACCGCGCAATGTCTCGCTGCATGGTCAGCTTCGTAACCTTGAGTTCCGTATTTTCCTTGAGAGCCGCTTGGTTATACTCCGGACCTGCTTTCTGCAATTGCTCCTGCAGATAATGAATCTTCAGTTTCAGTCCGAAATTATCTTTATCGAGTTTATCGATTAACTAAGGCAAATAGTCTTCAGCAAAGTCCTCAATTCGGTCTATATTGTCAGTAAGATATTTGACTCACCTTTTCCTGCTCCTTCAAGGTCATATTATTCTGGCCGTCATTGAGGACATTTCCATCTCTTCGCAAAGAAGGGAGCGGCGTGCTCTGAACACTACTGCTCGCAACCTGCGGCAAAGGAGTTGGTTCTTCTGTCATGTCCTCCTCCTCATCAATTCCTGTCATCTCCATTGGCGGTAATCCCGGAGTATTGACATTACTCCGATAACTCGCTCTCAGGTATGCTGGTGTTTTGACGTCGCCGGCCCCGCGCGTCGTGGTCAGATTCCTCAGCAGATTGTTCTTCGTAGCGCTCTGCATCAATGGAGTAAATTCACCTTTAGCAGGCGCAACAGTAGGAAGGTGCTGTCGAGATTTCAACGCGCTTTTTATAGGCCTCGTACTCGAACCAGCACGCGGTGTGCTGAGCTTGAACCCGCCGGAACTGCGTCTTCGGTCACCGAGCGCCTTGAGAACGTCCCCATCCTTCGAAGGCGACTGAAATGAGTTTTCGACCGAATCGAGTGCAGATAGATTGTTTCGGCCGATGCTCCGATAACCGTTGGTCAGGTAAGTCGCGTTTCCGTCGACTTCAGTTCGCGGCGTGTCAATATAAGGGTACGCCATTTTCGACGCGTTTGACGCGAGGATAGTCCGTGATCCGGATCCAGAATCAAATCAACTGTGGTAAACTTCAATGCGCAATCATCCTCGTGTCCTTAGTCGTTCATAAACAACAATCAGCAGAACGATTAGGCGGAAAGATGTCTTGCTCATACAGATGTGTTTTGGGCGGTGAGGGTCCGGCTTCTGAGCTTAGTTTGGGCAATGTTGACATCTAGCCTGATATAGTTTAGCGTGCTCCTTCGCAACAGCCGGGCCGAGCATTTCGCCGCGTGTCTTTCGGTATGAAGTCATGACAGTAATTTATCATTTTCTCCAGCCGCAGTCGAGGAAAGGGACCCTTTCCCCTCTTTTCTCGAGCAGCAAATCTTATCTGTCGCATCAGAGTTGCTC